TCTTACCCACCTCAGAGAGATTTGTGTTCCCACCGGAACATGTACACAGCTCTGTTTAATATTCTCTTTGAGATAGAAATACCTGCTTAAAGGCACTCCTGGGAAATTTACCAGGCAGCTACTAGGCCTAAGTCTTAGGCCCACGACCTCCTGCTCAGTGTCTTGACTCACAATGCCCAACCGTGTGATAGCACGTGCTTAATAACACTGGAATAACTTTACTATAACTCTGAGAAGTAAGAGGTGGGCAATACAGAGTCCATATTGTCATCCTCAATCTCTACTAGTAAGAAAACAGGTGCACTGACTTTCCCAGATCAACAGCAAATAGCGAATCTACAGAAACTCATATCCATGAACTCTTAATCCCCTATATTTGTCACTCCCCAACCTCACCTAAAAGTCAAAAAAATGAGGTTGCCTAAACCCTGAAGCTCTGGCTCAGTAGGGAGGATGGAAATAGAGGCTGGTGTTGTCCAAGATTTCCCAAAAGCAGGATTATGTCCTCACAAGGTTTGCATCCTTACTTCCTCCCCACGGTGCTCCCTTTCCCTGTGTTGTTTTGACACTGAACATTGTTTCTGTTTATATGGATTATATCTGTAAATGGCCAGTCTCTGGAAAATGCTCCATTTGGCCACCAGCTCCATGTAAAACCTCTTATCCACTGAGTAGCATCAGCTTCTTCCCAGAGATCCTCTTCCTCTAGAGAAGGGTGCAGAACCTACTAGACCCCAGTGAGCTCACAGTGGCTACTTTAGAAAATGCCACCACGGGCCTCAAGTATATCACAGACCAGGGAAACCCTCCCCATGATACAGAGATTTTTGTTGCCAGCATAGTTTGAGCCAGTCACGAGAACATTGCTGGTCCGTGCCTGAAACCCTAGGGTACAATTCTGGGCCCTGGCCTCTGATAGCCTCAGTGTGCAGCTGAGCAATGCCTTGATCTGCTTAAGGACCAAAGAGGCAGGGCCCAGTGCTGAGTTCTACTTTCAGGCTCAGACAATACCAGACCAGTGAAAACTGACACGGACTGTCCCTCCCTTAAAGATCCTTTTGAGAAATGTCTCTTCATTTTATTTTATTTTTTTGAGTTTCATTCTTGTTGCCCAGGCTAGAGTGCAATGGCGTGATCTTGGCTCACTGCAACCTCCATCTCCTGGGTTCAAGCGATTCTCCTGCCTCAGCCTCCCAAGTAGCTGGGATTACAGGCATGTACCACCACACCTGGCTAATTTTGTATTTTTAGTAGAGACAGGGTTTCACCATGTTGGTCAGGCTGGTCTCGAACTCCTGACCTCAGGTTATCCGCCCACCTCAGCCTCCCAAAGTGCTGGGATTACAGGCGTGAGCCACAGTGCCTGGCCAAGAAATGTCTCTTCTTAATGGGGAAAGTTTCCTGGGCAATCCAGACATGCTCAGCGAGTCTAAGACCACATCTGACTAGGTGCTTCCATAGGCAGTCCTGAGAGATGCTTGTAGCTGTCTATACAGACAGCTACAAGGTATGTCTATATGTCTATGTTGACAGCTATGAGATGCTTGTAGCAGTCCTGAGAGATACTTGTAGCTATCATATTCCCTTCCCATCCCATATCCTGCCATGGGCTGCAAAATAGAAACATTATTTTGCCCTGAAAGGTGTTCATAATCTAGGTGGGCTCATGTGGACCTGCCCCTTTGCTGGCTCTGGTTGGTTCTGGTTTGCCTGTCTAACCCCAAGAGAGGTCTTTTTGTTCTTTCTGGAGGCTAGATGAGTTCATGTGTAGACAAAAATAGATACGAGTTGGGAGGTCAGCCTTGAGCAGGGACAGGCTGAGGATGTTGTGGCTGGGGATACAATGAGTACATTGTTCATGAACTGGGTAGGGAACTAACTCCTCACCTCTTGTGCTCCTGGAGGGAGGTTGACATTGGTCAAGAGAACACTATGGAGAGAGACAGCTCAACTGGGGTTCCTGGAGCCCCTCTAAGCACAAAGTTTGGGCTATGCTCATTGATTTGGCTTTCCCCAAGTCCCCCTAGAGTTATTCCAGACTGTGGAAGGGGCCAAGTCTAGAGGAGAGGTTGCAGATTAGAGGCCTGCAGGCCAGGCTTGACCTATACGTATGTACTGTATGATTCACACAGCATTTAAAAAAACTTAAATTAGCTGCTAATATTTTAAAAGCAGACGTCTTTAACTCTTTAAATCTGGATTTTGAGTCTTGTGAAAAATGAGAATATCTAGCATTACTGGGCCTAAATGGGCAGTCAACGAGTAGAATAGCAGCTTCTGCCTTCAGACAGGATGTCTTCAGCCTGCAGGGTTATCAGGAGCAGCAAACCCAGAGGAAGCACCTTATCTATAGGCAGTCAGAAGGGCGCATGCTGAGACAGTGAAAGGATTTCCTTTAGAGCCTTTGAGCAGCAGGCTCGCCTTGGCTCTGGGCAGGAATGGTTTCTGAGGCTGGCAGAAAGAGGCAATTGTTTGTCTCCATTCTCTGCCTCTAGGCCATGAGTCATTCTTGCTCCTACCACCAGAAGCCAAGGGCCCTGCAGCCCAGGATATCTCAGTCAAATCAGGCAAGTGTCTGCCTGTCCCTAGCTCAGAGAATGCATACATAGTCCAGCCAGAGATATTGCATCAGCACTGTGGTGCAAGAATCAAGTGTCTTCACAAACAGCATCAAACAGACGTCAGGAAAGCAACAGCATGTGTGGCCGAACATTCAACTTTGGATTTAGATCTGGGAACTCAAAAGATCCCAAGCTCTGGTGCCACCCAGCCCAGCGAACACATGAGTGGGAGATGAGGCTCAGATGTGTCCTATGGCTTGAACTCAATTTGTTAAGAAAGGAGCACTGCACACTGCTATCATTTTACCCTTGACAATTTGAGAGAACACAATGAAAGCTTACGAGCAGAAAAATAACTTAGTCAAGCTCAGGAATCTTTGAAACTCAGAAGTGGCTACCATACTCCAAAATATGCCAGGTTAAGACATCTACTTGTATGGCACATGGTACCACATGCCCAATACCAAACCCATAGCACACAAGAAAGAGGATTTAGAATAAACAGAATAAAAAAGGTAACTGAGCTTATGACTTTTTAAAAAGTCTAAAATGGCATCCATGGGATGATGCTTAGAGGAACTAGACAGCCTCTCCCCAAGTGGTACAGGGCATCACAATCAGACCCCTTGTCACAGAGACTTTGACAATGGAGCAGAAACACTGCCGTGGAGAGCTATGCAGAGCAGGCACAGCAGCACGGGCAGTCAGATAACTCAGGCACTACAATGCAGCTATTCTCTGACCTCTGATTATGTGGTTACTCTCCCGGCATAACCTTCCTGAAACATCAGCCTTCTGACATGTTCCTTTCCATATTCAAATATTCTTGATCTCTTTCTGGATTGTTTACACCATTCCATCATCTTCCTCCCTTATCCTTCTCACCTCAAAACCACACCTTGTGCAGACTTGAAAACACAATCTAGTAGGTTGTTTTCTGCACTCTTTCTGAAAATACTTTCATCATTTGAGATTTTTATCCATCAGGCTATTTTCTTTCCTGGGTCTTCAAAAAAAAGCTTCAATTCCTCTTGCTAGTCAGATTTTTAGGGAATATTATGAACAAGAGAAATGGCACACAACCTAAGTAGAAAATCAAATGGAGCCAAGAATGTGGTAATTTATTAATCAGCAATGAAAAGATAACAAACAAAAGTTTCAGAGCCATTGGAACTGGTTTTTATGGAGACATACATATAAAAACACTGACTTACATTTATATAAAGTTATTCAAAGGCACTCAAACTAGCAAACACCAGAACTAAGATGTTTATCATGTGACCAAAGGCAAAACACAAAGCCTATGTTCACCAGTATGCTGTCAAGAAACAATCTGAGTCTTATGCTGATCATGACAATTAAAAAAAAAATGCTAGTGCTTTTGGGGGAAAGATTGTAAGTAGTCCTCTAATTGAATCCACTCATTTTAAGGACCAAACTTTTGTTCTTTAAGTAATTGTGAGCACCTTTTATGTGCCAAGTACTCTGCCAGGAGTTATAAGGCATACACACATAAACTTCAGTCATTGTTTAATTTTCAAGATAACTTAAAATGTAAGAATGATTTAAGGAAAATTAAATATTAGATATATTAATACAGTTCATTTAAAAACCTAATTAGCTTCTCAACAAATTCTGAAGAGTTTTGATGCAATACAAATTCAACACCCCTTCCTAAAAAATTGTAGCTCATTATTTACAATACAGAAAAAGTATTTAAGAATTGAAAAATAGTTAAGTCAATTCTGATACTTTTACTAAGAAAATCTATTATAAGTGATAGTAAAGATGACAATACAGTAAAAGTTTAAAATGGGATAAATTATATGATATTAAGCATACAAAATCAGAGGACTAAATTGCATATCTCTTGGGACTACAGATTTGGAAAGTACATGTATACACATAACAAGGACAAAAAGAAAATAAGGAGAAGACATTATTTGAATGGTAGGGAACAGTTTAATATTTTTTCCATTTTGATAGCTATTAAATTATATTAAAATGTTATTTATGTAGTAATTTTTATTTAAAAAACTATATAGAGTAGGAAGAAGTGGAGCAGGATGGGAAAGGGGCATAGAATCAGCTGAGAATTGACTTTCTAAAACTCCAGATGGCACCCACAGGATGAGGGTGAGGCCCCCAGCTGAGGGCTCCCTCACTGCACCAGGTCTGGGGAAAGTGCTATCTCGGAATCTGTCTAACCAGCTCAGCAGGTTATTCATCTCAGGGCAGCCCTTCCTTTCCCTACCCCCTCTGCCACCCTCAACGTACAGGTTGGTTTCACTTGCTGTATAAACACTATACACTGAGCAGCCAATCCCACCTCCAGGCAGGATGGGAAAGACGACAGCGAGATCTGTAGCCTGGGCATACAAAGGAGCTTCAGCACGAGCTGCTTCAGAACCCAAGGGCCTTCAGTGCACCCGCCCTTACCTGTTGAAGCATCTCTTCAGCAGCATTGAGTTTCACCTGGTGTCCTTCCAGACACACTTCCAGGTCTCGAATCTTCTCTCCCTGGGCTTCTACTTGGTCTGTGAGGACACTCACCTGTTCCAGGAAATAAAGCAATGGTGGAGGACCAGGGACTTCACATGGTGCAGGAAAGCCTCCCCACCGCAGGCAAGCCGTGAAACCTCACCACTGACTCTTATACACAGGGAACAGTTTTGCTTTTTGCTGAATGGCGGGTGGAGGAAGTGCCCTGAATGAAGGCAGCTCCAGTTAGATTCTTACCTTACCAGGGAATCTCGGCCACTGCTCTGATGACATGGGTCACGTTTACTGTTCTTGACAGACTCAAGAGTAAAACACCCAACAGCCACAGGAGCTGCCTCTGGGCTGGACTCCTGCTCCTTATTCCTTTTCCAGAACAGCCCCAACCTCAAGGCACATCTCAGCTGGCTTGTCAGGACTTCTGCAACTTCATGTGGAAGAGCGTTCCAAACTTCATGGAAACTAACCAATGACCTTACCTCTCTCATAAGGGTGTGAGGACTGCTCACCTATCAGGCGAGTGTTTTGTTGCAATTAAGGAATGTGGGCTGTAAAGGGCATGTATTAGCATTGACAAAACTTGGCTCCAGAAAGGTTTTTGTGCTTCACAGGCCAAAACATGACTCTAAGTCATAAATATACAGGAGCCACATTACACATACAGTGGCAGGAACAAAGTCATCTTTCTGAAGAATGCTGAGAATCTCTATTGAAAATATTAATTAGTAAAAACTCATTTACAGGAAGTCATTCAAATTATGCCCTAACTATATATTAACAATGGTTTTCATAGCCTTCTCTATTAGCAAACTGCCCCAGGATCCTTTTTCTTTATTAAGAGATGGCTCAAAGCAAGAAGAAAGAGAATGAGTGTCCTCTCCAAAGTGAAGAAATTAACAGTTGATAAACTGAGATCCTTTCGACCTTTTTGATTAGAGTCATTGCCATTTACATATAGATTATCTGGAATTATTTCCCAGTCTGTAATGGAATAATAGATGGAGCATGAGTTGATGTAATTCATTTATGAGTGTTTAAATAAACTTTCTGAATTATAAAGCGCCTGTTTAAAAAGGAACTAATCTAAATTAATATGCCTACTTTAAGATCTCCATTTTTATTTTCCCAAACGATGAATGAATTATTGAAACATATTCCTGGAGTCGACACATGGTTAACATTCCACTTTTAACCAAAAAATCTGTTTAAAAAAAAAAAAAAAAAAAAAGGCTCTATCAACTTGGTCCACCTTACACGCAAACCTTTGTGGGTGGGTGTTTATTTATTAATTCCTGTGGCCCAACACTCTCAGCCATCCTGAACTAACTCCACTTTCAAAAGGGCAGGACTCTCGGGGTGGGCTTTGTTCGCTGGAATCTAGAGTTTCTGTTTGTGAAGGATGTTTTCTGGCTAATATTATTATGAGGGTTAAACATTTCTATGGTCTATACCATGCCTTGAGGCCATATGTTGGTGATACTCAAGGAATTATAGGATCTCTAGCATTCTGTAACTAATTGTTCAGCTCCAGGGTCCTTCTGAACCTCAAGGCTGATTCTAAGTATTACGAATGAAGGGATGTAGGAAATCCAGACAAAATACATAAAGGTCCTAAAATGTGACCTTCGTTCACTAAAAACAACTATTTTTGAAACCCTAATAGATGCTAGGCATAATTTTAGGTACTGGAGGATACACAAGTTAAAAAAAAAAAAAAAAAGGATGAAAATCCTTTTCTTAAGGAGTTACATTATAACGAAGATATAAGAGATTTTGGTTTTGTTTTTAACTAATCCTAGAAACAAAGTATTTTGTTATGTGTGATTTGCCTTTTTCTACCAGTAGAACCAGGAAAACTTTCTGGGCCAAGGACTCTAAATTAATTCAGTCTGGCTAAGCTGCTGTGTTCATTAAGCAAGAGGCTCTACCCTGCTGAGAATCTGCCTAACCAGCTCCACTGGGCCACTACAGAACAGCAGTGATCACGTAACAGATACTCCTGGAGTCTGCCCATAAGCTCCCAGTAAAGTAGAAACCACTAGGGTCAACTTCTGACTTTACTGGTAAGCAGCTTCCCAATTGTGTTAGGATTATTTAAATGGGGATTATTCAATAATTCAGAATTTTAGAAAACTATGAATGTGAAAGGCAGCATTATTACACAGGACTTTAAAAAATTAAATTGTAATCCTCTCTAAATAGGAATGTGCTATTTCAATCATGAAGGGTCCTGGTTCAAAAGTTTGCAATGCCATACTGTTTGCTGCCAAATCTTACATTGGATACTCTTTCATTAATCATGTCATTGGGATAAGAGTTTCAAATTACATATCCCTCAAATATCTGTGCTACAATGTGCTATTCAATCTGGTCCCTGCTACCTCTCTACAAGGCAGCTTGCACCACACTTTTGGGCACAGACTCCAGGCACAATGGCCCCTTGCTATTCTTCCCACACCCCAAGCACACTCTTGCCTCATTGTGTGGGCTGGACTGACCACCTGCTCTGCCTGGAATGTACTTCTCCAGGTATCTGCATGGCTCCCTGCCCGGCTTCCTCCTGTAAAGGAGATCTTCCTTTTACTACACAATCCTCATCCTGCTTTACTTTTTTCCAGAGTTCTTACCAGTGCCTGAAATAGTTTATGTATTGGCTTATTGTCAATTCACACTCTCCTTTTTCTTTTCTTTTTTTTTTTTTGAGATGGAGGCTCGCTCTGTTGCCCAGGCTGGAGTGCAGTGATGAGATGTCAGCTCACTGCAACCTTCACCTCCTGGGTTAAATCAATTCTCCTACCTCAGCCTCCTGAGTAGCTGGGATTACAGGCACCTGCCACCATGCCTGGCTTATTTTTGTATTTTTAGTAAAGACAGGATTTCATGCTGGTCAGGCTGGTCTCCAACTCCTAACTTCAGGTGATTCACCCGCCTCAGCCTCCCAAAGTGCTGGGATTACAGGCGTGAGCTACTGCACCTGGCCCACTCTCTGTCTTTCAAATGGAAGATCCACAAGAATGGGAACTTAGTTTGCTTCCTTCACTGCTGCATCCTAGCATCTAAAACCAGCATCTCACAAGTTGTAGATACTCAATTATTTTATAATGAAGAAATTAATGAAGTGAAGAAAAACACAAAACTTCAAAGTAAAACTGTATATTTGGTATGAGCTCAGTTATTTAGAATAGAGGCAAGAGAAAAAAAAAAAAAACATACACTGGAAAAAAGGCCAAAATGTTAACCTGGTTCTTCAAATTTTTAGAATTTTAAAAGCTTCTAAAATCATTCATTACCCTTATGTTCATAAAATACAATGAAAGAATAAAACATATAAGGTAAAAAGAGAGAAAACAAACACATTGCCACCTCATAACCCTAGTGCTCCAAGCTAAAGCCCACAGCCTGGGGTGGGGGCCAGGCCTCCCTCAATCCCTCCCTTCATTCTATCACTAGTCTAACTCATCACCCTTTAAGCTTTTAAGGAGCTGGGATTAGGATACGAGCCTTTATATTTTCCAAATCACCAATTAATATCTGATGCATACCAGACCTTGAATAAATGCTTGCTAAATCAATTTATATTTTCAAGAGTTAACACAGCAAAGTGCTAGACCTGCTTCTTCAACAGCCTTCTTACAAGAATACCTAACTCTATGTCCTACCAAGGCACACAAACTTTCAAGAGCAAAAAAAGCTCCCTTGACTATCCTTCTCCGTAAAAGGTTTTAGAGTTCCTCTCTTTCAAGCAAGACAGCGATCAAAGGCTTAGCCCATTACCAGCTCGAGGGGATTTGGCATCAAAGTGATCAGTCTAGATCCAGCGTCAGACAATTTGGACTTGATTCCATTAGCATTCACCCTTAGGCCCATATCACCCACAGCTCTGTTTTATTAGTGGCATGAGGATATATCTCCCCTCCCGCACAAGACTCAGGGGCTTCTGGGGGACAGGGCCCATTTTGTTCATTCTTAGCACCTGGAAATCAGCCTGGTCATGGGGCTTCCAGTGTATAGAGGCAAGTGCTTGGTAGTGCATGATCAATGAATGAATGAATTCACAGCCCCCCAAAGCCAAGTCTAGAGTTAAATGTCCCCTGAGTTACTTAATGTTTTATTTCAGGAAAAGTCTTTTCTAAAAACATATGCTTTGGAAGGAGAAAAATTCCAACAGAGAAAATCCCTTGTGCTTCCCTTCCACGTAGGGGAAACTACATAGTAGGAGGTAACAGGATAAGCTGGTTCTCACCAAACAGTACCCACCTGCAATATGAGGGACTCCTTATCCCCTTCTAGACGTGCCAAGCGTTCCTGGTAGGTTTCATTACTAGCAGCACTGTGGTGGTTTACCTGGGACTAAAGAGGACAGAAAAAAAAGAATACACTTAAAAGGTTGGAAAAACATCTTACCAACTTCTAAATGAAATAGGGGATGCATGTAATTTGTGAGGATAGCTTCACTGATTATATGTACAAAACCACTCATCAAAACAGGAAACCACAAGATTTCAAAACTACCATGAGGAGAACCAGATCACATGCCACTGAAAGGTGTGCCCTGAAAGTTGGCACAACCACCCCCTGGATGACCTCACTCCTGGCCAGGAGGGCCTCTGTGAAACTCTAGGCCCAGCAGTGCTTGACTTGACCAGCTGGGTCTGGGTTAGCCAGAGGCACAGCCTCCAGAGGCATGTTGACAGTGAGGGTCTGCTCTTTGAGGAGACTGGAGAGCTGGCACCATACACCAAGGGACTACATGGGAACAGCTTCTGGATAGATCTTGGTATCTCCTAACTCTCATGCCAGGGTCCCCTGAAGCCAAGGCACACCTTGCTGCATGGAGGCCCATCCTGAATATCACAGTGAGCACGAAGGATGGAGGATGTCAAATGCAAGGCCCTTCACTCACACATCCCTTCCCACCCCAATCCCACCCTCTAATAAGAGCTTTGGTAGCCAGGCTAGCAGGTCACATTTCTGCAGTGCTAGAGCTGAGAGAAGCAAGCTAAGACAAACATCTTGAGAAGAACTTAAATAATAGCCAGAGGGATGCCAGAGCAAAAGCACAGGAAATGACAGGTAGCCAGAAACTACAGAAAACAGAGGAAAGGGAGAGGATGTGAAATGTCAGAGGAGAAGCAGAATCTTACAAATGCCCCGAGCAGAGAAAGGAGGTGTCACTTTCTTGGGTGTGTCTGACCTGGTTGTGGGCAGACAGGAGAGAAGGAGCTAATGTCACCAAGCTGGCCCCAACACCTCCTTCCTCCATGCGAATGGAAGACTGAAACCAGACTGGTCTGCAATAGGCCACCTAAAAGGTTGGCAGTCTGAAAAAGTAGATCCAATTGCTAAATGCGGAACTGAGTATCATATAATCTGAGCTGGTCCAGTGAAATCAGTGCTTCAGTATTCACGAGGGAGGTGTCTACTACCCTAGAGGAAAGTCTTAATTGTGCAGAGGCAGATGTGAGAGACCCAGAGTTGGGCTACCTTGTCCTAGGCCATTTCCCCACATTTCAACTTTTAGCATGGGCTCTCCCACCACCATGAGAAAAGGCACCTCCTTCCTCCTCTCATCCCACCCCTTCCCAATGCACTGCATAGGTGAGGGAGGCAACAGAGTCATGCCCAGTCCTAGAACAGAAATGTGGACCAAGCATACTGCATTCAAACCCTGGAGTCTCACTAGTGAAAGATGCATTGCTTGTTTGTTGAAGGTGCAGCCGGAGGACAGGCCCAGGGGCCACTCCCCAGGCCAGCTGTGCCAGGCAGCACCTGCTGCCACACCTCTGTCTTCTGCTCCAGCCCCTCTGGAGTCTATGTCTTGTTCATTGTTATGGAAGCTCTTAAGAACGTTAACAATCACAAATGACTTCTTTGTTAATGGCAGTTTATTGTTGCTAAATTAATATTCCAGTTCTCACATGATCAAATCCTCTGACTAGAATCCAAGAATATATTATAATCTATATTTTCTCAGAACCTGAGAAGGAATGATAGGAGAATAATTCTTAATAGCAGGTCAACTTCTTTGTCAAATAATTCATATGATGGTGATTTCCAGTGGACAGAGAATTAAAAAGGACCCAGGTGTCCAAGTGAAGCTCTGCACGTAGAACCCCAGTGCCAAGTCCACATGGACACGGAGCCACCTAGCTCTGGCAGCTGCCCATTCTCTGGCAGGAAATGAAGGACAGAAGACTAAAGGGAAGACTCCTTCCACAGACTCCAGAAGCCACTGTACCAACTATGCCTTATTCAAATGGTGTGCAGTATATTCTTCATTATAATAAAAGGTCTACGCATACAATCACCCAGAGAGGTAACTATTTTTATTAGTTGACAAAGAGTAAGAAAGTTGAAATCAGAAATTCAGTTAATAAAATGTATGACCCAGATTCTATAACACATGCTAGAAGGGGGATCAAAAATCTAGATCCACGCTAGCAGCCAATGAAAAAAGAGAAGCACAATCAAGTTAACGGATGCGCAGATCAGTGTGGTAAAATCAAATCAATTGCCTAGGAGAAGCATAATTATTCTGGAGCAAGGGATAAACTTCATGTTTTCATCCAGAGATTTTGTGTAATGGGATCAGCAATACCCATGATGACACCCTTAGAGTAAACAGAGCCCAGTAGAACTCATTGTTTTTGTGTGATGTTCTCAGAATAGTTCAGAGGCTAGTGGACAATATGGGCCAAAGGTGAAAGCAATTCTATGGAGACTAATATAATACGATTCAGGCACAGTGCTGTAAATATACAGCAAGCACCTTGTGCTCAGTATGTGCCAGGCACTGTTCAGAGCACTTTGCCATAATGTTTGAGTTTCCTACAAAATGTTTCTATTAATTAAAATATATTTGAAAATCTAGAAGCACTGTTAGAGGACCTAGAACAGTGGTTCCTGATATTTGTCCCTCCTATAACAGATTCAAGGAGCCAACTCCTTTCCTAGCAGTCATACTGGTCCATACAGCAGTGGTGTGCATGGCAGACAGGTCCCTCCCGCACCCAGTGCATCTTCCTCTTCTACAGGTCCTTCAAAATCACTGGTCTCCAGCAAGCTTTTTAAAGGTATTAAACAGCAGTGAAAGATAATGTTCCAGACAGAAACGCAAAGTATCACTAGCCTTTGCTTTTGATGAAGTCAGAGCCATGTGTTTTCATGATCTATATAGGACTGGGATGTTAAAAAAAAACTGAATTCTTCAGAAGGGCATAGGCCAGGATCAAATGCCACCTACGCCTGGAGAAAAACTTGGAAAGCATCTGAGAACAGGGCCAAGAAGAGGATTGTCTTGCTGAATGCTAATACTCATCAGCCAAAGGTAAGGATTTGCCTTTGGGTGAATCTGTATATTCTGTATTCTTATAATATGGCAACAGGTTCAATCACATTCTGGTATCATTCTTGCATTATAAAATGACTACATCATCAGGGCATAATAAGCTTTGTGGTTATCAAAATGTGATTCCAATTTATTGAGAAATATATTTTAAAGGACTGAGTTAGGACACACCTCTGTTTTGCTCTACTTTAAAGAGAGCTTGCTTGGTCAACAAGTATACCTGCTTCTTTAATAGTGGAATTGCAAACAGAAGGCTTGGATGGATAGTGGGTCCCTGCATGATTCCAGGTTTGAGGCGTCCCTGAAAAGTCTTGTCCATGTTCCTGATTAGGTAAATCAGTGATAAGGCAGTTGCCCAGCTCTCCATGAATGAAGTCAGGTTACAAGAACCAAGCCCACATTCCACAGAAAAGAAAGTCCAATCAAATTCTGAAGGATGCCACAAGCTAATTTTCTGGGTTTTTTTTTTTTTTTTTTTTGGTTGTTCTTTTTGAGATGGAGTCTCATTCTGTCACCAGGCTGGAGTGCAGTGGCGCGATCTAGGCTCACTGCAACCTCTGCCTCCTGGGTTCAAGCGATCCTCCTGCCTCAGCCTCCTGAGGAGCTGGGACTACAGGTGTGCACCACCACGCCCAGCTAATTTTTTGTATTTTTAGTAGACATGGGGTTTCACCATGTTGGCCAGGATGGTCTCCATCTCTTGACCTTGTGATCTGCCCACTTCGGCCTCCCAAAGTGCTGGGATTACAGGCATGAGCCACTGCACCTGGCCTACATGCTAATTTTCTATTGTTTCCCACTGTGATATGGCAAGTGACTATAAAGGAGAGTATCATCTACCCCCTGTTCTACTTGTTAAGGATGCTCAACCCACAGATGAATATAAGAAAGAGCTAACTTTTACTCAACCAATGACATTAGCCACTAGGCTAGACCTGCCAATGGTAAGCTCTGTTACATATATTTGATCAAACTTCCTCCCCCTCTGTTTTGATGGTTATTGCTACAAATGTGACAGGGAAAAGTCAATCTTCTCATTCAAATTTTCCATTGTCAGAACTGTTTCTGATACTGTAATTCAGGTTAGTTACCTAAAAATATTGTGAGAACCATGTGATCTGTGTGCCCTATGGAGAATTGTTAACTACAGATATTTCCATATCCTCTTCAATTTTGACTAAAGAATGCCACAGTGAAACATACTACCTCTCCTATATCATGGAACTGAATCAAGACAAGGGCTTCTTGAATGCATATCATTAAGAACTCAGCACCTTTAGTCAAGATTATTGAAGCCAAACCACCTTTCTGTCTATCAAGCTTTGCTCTCAAGAGGTTGAAAAAAGTCTCAGACACAAGGAATTCATCCTCTAAAACTCAGATCTTGTGGAGGCAAATATAAAACACAGCACGGAGTTGTCATATCAAGGTCTTCCCTAGGCCTTGAGAGTAATATTCCAGAGTGTTTCAGAAACAGTGACAACACATCTCCTTGATTCTTACAGGTTATCCTAGGGTCTGTTTCTATAAGACCCAAACAGCTACCACTGCTGGGGCTGGGCAAGCCTAATGTGCAGCTTGAGCAATTAACAGCCTAAGGTGTGGGTATTTTCTAAGCCATCCCTAACTGAGAGGGGCCTCAGAAAGATGTATCAGCTGTGCAGGATATTCTATGGTTGGGATTCTGGAGTTGATCATGATAGTCAATCAGCCTCAGCAGGGAGAGGATAGAAAGAGAACTGTGAGTAGCCAGGAGGGAGAGGACTGGCTGACCAGCAAGATTCCAGCAGGGATAGTCTCCACATAAGGGGCATTTTGGACCGTACAATGACACTAGCCTAACCTAAACCAGGTCCTGTCC